TATATGTCAAATACAATTTTTTTTTACACTTTTTGCATCTCAGTGCTTCCCCAGCCTTCCTCAGCCACTTCCTTTCTACATACACTTGCTCCAGTGTTGGCTACATATTATTGCTCTTCACTGGCTTCCTGAAAGTGACATTGGTGGGCCTTGTTGGGTAGCACAGTGGCTTAGTGGCTAGCAATCCCACTGGGATCCTTTGTATAACAATAATATCTGTTAAATGTGTGCCAACACTATCAGCTGCAGTGTTAAACATAGGTGAATGTGACAGGAATTGTAGAAGTACAGTTGAGAGACAATTGTCACCCCATAACCTGAAGTGCCCAAACAAGGACCATCGTGACAGGATTGCCAGATATTTATTTAAATATAAAAATCTAGTTCTCTTTGCTGTTTGACTGGTTGCAGCTAGGGGTGAGCATCTCTGAACATGGAAGCTACATTGGGCCACCCACTAAATCAGCTGTGGGCCGGGGGATTTTCCTCCCTGCAGCTGTACATACACAAAGGGGCAGATGATTGTGCTAATCTCATTGACCTTATATAGCCATATAGAACAATGTAATTGACCAAATTTAGCCATGTGGCCATATAAGGTCAATTACATCACTGCATCCCACCCCTTTGTTTATGTGCAGCTGAGTGGAGGATAGAAAGGCGCTTCCTTCTATGTTCAGTCTGATCCTGAGCTCATCACTAGTTGCACCTATCCAAAATCATTAAGTACAATACTGGACTAGTTTTCTTGCATTGTATGTGAGGACATCCAGGGCCTGCCCTCATACTGGGAGCTTCGGAGAGCACCAGCTACCAGAGAATTCAGGAATAAGGCAAATGTTGTGCTTATTCCTATCACTGTAGACCAGCCGTTCTCAACCAGTGTGCCATTGCACCCTGGGGTGCCTTTTGGCTTTCTGATGTGAAGAGGGCTCCTAATGTGAGAGGGGGGACTCTGATGTTAAGGAACTTTTTTCTGCAGTCCTTCCTTAAATTCCATACAAGATGCTTATCTAGGATAAGGGTCAGGTTTTTGGAGAGGCCACACGTTTTTTTAAATTTTTACTTTTATGTTTTTATTTATTTATTTTTAAAATATATTTATTTATAACAATAAGAATAAAAATACAATGAGATAACATCATTTTGTCATTACAATAGTAAGAACAGAAACATAGTAAGTCCATAGCAAAAAAAAAAAAAGAACAATACAGCACATTTATATTTGGAGTGCCACAAGATTGATTTGTGCCGCTGAGGGGGGTGGGGGTGATAGAAAGGTTGCCGTAACTGAAATAAGATTGAGAAGCACTGAAAAAGAGCAATTAACCCATGTATTCAAGAAAGGGGAAACTCCAAGGATAAATGTTTCCTTACCCGGGAGTTTAGCTTTAACATGTTACAGGTTGTATGAAATGTTGTGATTGGGTTTGGATCTAATTTAATTCTACAACAATATCCTGCAATTTTGTCCTGCAGTAAAGATATCATGCATGCATAATATCTTTAAAATCTCTTGTAAGGTTGCTTTGCATTGCATTCTCATTTCAACTGACATTAATGGCAAAGTTCAGAGCAGCCTATGAAATATGCAGCATGCAGGAGATTGAAGCACATTGCAACGCAGATTATGTATTGCATTGTTGTGAACCAGTCTTTCTTAAATCAACGCGATTTCTTGTCTTTTTCTGCTTTTGAAAATGCATCAACGTGCACGGCAATGTGAACGAGCTCTCATTAAACACGCTACCTTACAGCATTAATTATGTAAACTCCACCTCCCCCCTCACCCTCCTTCTCCTGATCTGCTTTACTTTTCTGTGCATTGGCCTGTGAACTTCATGTCACCGACACCTTCCAGTTTAGAGATCAAGGTCAACGCAGCCAGGCCTGGTACTGCTGCTGTTAGGGCTACAGGCCATCATGGCTATCGCTGGGCTTTTTGGCTTCCTGTCTATGGGCTTCCGTGATCTGTGTCAATTGACTGCCTGGCTCTGCCTCTTCTACGTTCTGTACAAAGTCTCTAAGCTGTATGTGAAATGGAGGGAGTTGAACAGAGCATTCAGCCCTTTCCCAGGTCCTAAACTTCACTGGCTGTATGGCAATGCCCATGAGGTAAGAAGTATGTGAGTTTATATACAGCAAGGTAAATCTGGGATTAGGAATCCAGGATGAAGACAATGGGGTGGATTTTCTAAATGTAAATAGGCTGTTGAGCTTGAAAGGGAATTTGCATTTTGCGGGGGGATTTTCCTAGTTTAAAGTGACACTAAACTCAGGAGTTAAATCTTAAAAATGCATTCAAGTACTTTATCTATTAACAAAAATGTATCTTATTTGTGTATCACTCGGCTGTAGATCCTCCAATCATCTCTGAATTTGTGCTGACACTGTCCTTCCTTCTGGAGGGTGGCTACTTTTGTTCCCCATGGTCCCTGTGTGTGTTGTAAAGTAGCCACCGCTCCAAGCTCACTTCAGATAGTCCCAGAGCAAATGAAAGAAAAGAGTCTTTTTTTATATTTGACGCTCTTTCAGTCATTAAAGAATTTGAGAAAAAAGAAAGAAAAGAAATAGGCGGAAGGACTTTATGAGGGTGGGCATGGGATCAGGAAGGGGGGGTTAAGGTTTTCTTTTAAACGAAGGTCACTTACCTGATTGGCGAGGCATAGGTGTTCTAGGAGGAGCTTCATAGTGGCAGAGATTTTTTCCTGGTCAGTCTGGAGTTAGCACATGGCGAGCGAGCTTCCCGTCCACCCGCCCTTATGTTTCTCAGCAATTGGGGTTGTAATAATTTTCTGTAGTGTGGTATGGGGTCCAGGAAGGTGATATCTGGTGGTTGGTGTGGAGCCAGGAGGACTCATCTCTGGTAGGCAGTCCTTGTGGTGGCTGAGTCAGCAGACAGGGGTACAACAATTTTGTTTATAATGTCTCTGCAGTAATTCTGTTGTTGTCCTTGAGTTGGTGTGTTGCGGCTAGTGGCCTGGTAATCAGTGGTTATGCAGAGATGGTTTGTGATAGGGTACCAAGGCCTTCATGGACCTCCAGCCGTATATGTGTGTGTGTAAATAGGTGTATATACAGAGTATATATAGTTATTTGTTGACTGCAATAATTTAATGTTTATCTCTATTTTGTTTAAGTTGACATTTGTAATAACGGGCTGCTATAGCCAATTTATATTCAATCCTGTGTGGTCTGTTATTTGGGGTATGGACATTAGGAGGAGAGGTGGCGTAGCAGGGCTATAGTAGTAATGAGAACCTATGGCTTGCCCTGGTCATGTGATGGACTACAATCTCAGGTTTAGTTTACTAATTTGTATTGAGATTGTAGTCCATCACATGAGCGAGCTTGGAGCGGAGACTACTTTACAACACACACATGGACCATGGGGAACAAAAATAGGACAGTGTCAGCACCAACTCAGAGATGATTTGAGGATCTACAGCCGAGTGATACACAAATAAGATACAAGTAAGGGACTTACTCCATGGTCGCTGGCAGGCCCCGCTTCCTCCTCTGTCGCAAGGCCTGCCTCCTCCTCAGCTGCCAACGCCTGGTCCCGCCTCCTCCGCTGCCAACGCCAGGCCCAGCCTCCTCCTCCGAAGCTGCTGGCTGTCACTGACTCAGCAGCGGCTGTGAGGAGGAGCACGCCGCTGCATAGTTCACTCACAGGTTGTCAGTGATCTGGATAGCGGTGCGTTCCTCCTCACAGCCACCAGTGACAGCCAGCAGCCTGCTATGACATAGCGACCCAGGCGGCCTGCACGGCATCAGGGGGACCCCTTTGTTCCTCGCTGTGCCCCGGGCCCCATAGCGGTCGCCTGGGTCGCTATGGCAATAGTTCCGCCACTGGTATAGAGATTGTATGGTTAGATTGTGATATGTAGCTTTAGGGCAGGGGTTGGCAGCTCTGGCCCTCCAGCTGTGTTTTAAGTACAAATCTCAACATGCCTCTACCTCTGGGAGTCATGCAATGTTTAATGGGACTTGTAGTTCGACAACAGCTAGAGGACCGGAGTTGCCCACCCCTGCCTGTTCACACTTGTCCGTTTTCATGCAGCAAAATTAAAGATGCATTTCAAGTGGAAATCCCATTATACCCTATGTGGTTGGTTCACATCCATATGACGCAGTTTAGGGAAATGTAAACTATATCTGCCCATTCACACCTACACATGTGCAATACCACGCGTGCTGCATTTACATGGAACATTGTGAATCCAGCCTGAATTTTTTTGTCTATTTAGATTTGTGAACATCTTTAGGCAGTACAAAGGGCAGTAACCCTCAGCAATGTCTTCTCAATTTTCTTAAGTAAAAAGGAAGGATATAAACAGGAGGCTGATATGTTAATGAGCCCCACCTTTTCCATATTATGTATAGAGAACATTGAATACACCTCTCTGAGACCTCACACAGATGCCATGCATGTCTATCTGCTCCAGTTTCTTTAAATCAGCCACATTTTCTCTATTTTTAATATTTCAGTTCCGTGGAGATGGAAGCGAATTTGACCTCATAATGCAATATGCTGGACAGTATCCATACGCCTACCCTCTGTGGCTGGGAAATTTCTTTGGAACACTGTATATCTGTCACCCTGATTACGCAAAAGCCATTCTTTCCAGGCAGGGTGAGAGCTGGAGGAAATTCTTTGCACTTTAATTTAATATGTTGAAGAAATGACCGTTAATAGAAAGTTAAGCTGAAACTGTACTGTGCCTTTATTTGACAACAGTGGTGTCACAAGGGGGGTGCAGGCCACACTGGGTGACCCCATTGGAGGCGGTGACACCAAAATTACTGTTAGTCATTTTGACGTCACCCCCTCGGTCATGGACAGAGAGCCCGACAGTTGCATGAGAAAGCAGGAGGTGAACGTCCTCTCCTCTCTTTGCTGGCTTTCATCACCAAGATAGCCGCCGGCAGGCGTGCACAATGACGTCCCAGCGGGGTGTCACGCGCGGCCACTCTGGGTGACACCACACCTGGGGATGCCCCTGACAAAGCGAAGAGCTCCATTGTGTCAGAGCACAATGAAAACCAGACAAGCGAAAGGTGCTAGTTAAAATATTTATTAAGAACAGTGTCCACTGGAGCAAACAGAATTTTAAACCGGAACAAGCTAGAGTCAGGAGCTGGAGTGGGTAGTCGTCCAAGCCAGGTCAGGAACAAAGAGATTAGCCAGGAGCAGGAGACAGGTCATGAACAAGCCAGGAGCAGGAGCCAGAGGGGAACATCAGCCAGGATCGGGTCATACACAGACTCAGGATACTCAGAGCAGCAGGAATGCAGTAGCAGGAAGACCACACAAGGGCAAGGTCAGACTGGACTAAATAGTTTACATATAGTGAGTGGGGTGACATCATCACTCAGAGACAGGAAACTCCCATCTGACTCACTCAGATGATGCTCTCCTGTCTGGCCATAGGAGGGAGCCTGGGGGTAGTGAGAAACGTTCCAGAGTCTGCTCAAGCAAGGAAGGAAACAGGTGAGTAAAATGGCAGCCAAGCCAGAATGCTGCAAACCAGTAAAGTCAGGGTGGAACCCTGACACATTGTGGTGACCTGCTTATGTTAAAATACTAAAACTTGATCTCTGATTCCCTACTTTTGGGTTACTTCACAACAATCATGCCCCATATTTTCCGCTTATGCAGGCTGCCATTGGGCTATTTATTTTTAATGTAAAAATTATACCCCCTAACATGGGCAAACTGTTGTGGAACTACAAATCCCATGAGGCATTGCAAGATTCCCACAGCCACAGACATGACCCCAAGAGACAGATGCATCATGGGATTTGTAGTTTCAGCACAGCTGGAGGGCTAGAGTTTGCCCACTCCTGCTTCAAAGTAAACCCCAAAGGACATCTGGTATAATCCCCACCGAGTTTTATTGGAAACTGTGCAGGATGTAAGGTGATGCCAGAAAAGTAATACAAAAGAGGAACCTGTAATGACCGTTCCTCAAGGACTTTACACGGCCTAAAATAAGAACTCTCTTTTATATGCATTGTATACCCTGTTCTCTATTAGACTGTAATCTTTAACAAGTTGTTTTCATCCTCTTAGATCCCAAGGATAATTTTGCCTATTACTTCATAACTCCATGGATCGGTATGTGACACAATAAAAAAAAATTATAGTAAACCCTAAAATACTGGAAGTATATGCCTGTCTGTAGTATAAAGCAGTGGTAGGCAACATTTGCTCTCCAGCTATTGTGGAACTAGAAATCTCATGAGTCAGTACAAGACACTGACAGCCACAGGCATGAATACCGGAGGCAGATACATGATGGGATTGGCAGTTGCAGCACAGCTGGAGTGCCAAGTTTGCCTACCTCTGGTATAGAATATAGATTACATTAAGTTGACCACATTGCAATGGCTGAATTACTTACCTCCTCTCTGGCGCTATCCCTGTGGTAATACAATTACTATATATTTTATGCCTATAGACAAATACTGTTTATCAGCATCACACGTGTATCTAACATTAAAAAAATGAGTAATCCTTCAATAGCATAATGCAAATTATAGATGGTAAGATTTCTCTAGAGGTACCTTGTCATGTGCATGTAATGATAAGTTCAGTGCTGATAAATATGCTGAATATTAGATTAGATATGTCTCCGTGGCCCATGTTAAAAAAACACAAAAGATTGTTACATGGTGGACTGACTTTTTCATCCAATAACTCTCCCCTTTGGCGTTGCTCAGGTAAAGGGTTGCTGGTGTTATCGGGACAGAAGTGGTTCCAGCACCGCAGGCTGCTGACCCCCGCCTTCCATTATGATGTATTGAAGCCTTATATGAAACTGATGTCAGACAGCATGAATGTCATGCTGGTAATTACACAGATATGTATTGACGATTTAGTGGACCATTAGCTCGATATAAACTCAAAAATCACTAACAGGGTTATTCACAAAAGGGTGAAGAGTTTGGAGAAGGCAGGAGAAGTGAACAATCTAGGACAACATAGCTGAACTGGAAAGTGAGCTGAATCGGAGAACTTCTCCAGCTCAGCTATGTTGTTCTAGTTTGTTCTTCTCCTGCCATCTCCAAACTCTTCGCCCTTTGTGAACAGCCCTGTGATTGGAAATCCCCACTGTTTCCATGAGTTTCTGGAATGGCATTGATGCAGTAAACCTACATTATTTTTTTTTAAGAATATTTGTTTATTTTATTTTTCATTGATTATTGTCACATCTTAGATCACAATTCAAGCATCATCTTAAAGAGGCTTCTATCAACATGTCTTTCATTTCAATCCTAGACATACTTCACTTCTTTAAGCCTTACATTTAAATAAGATAACCCTAAAACTATACCCCCCTCCCCCTAAAAAAAATAACAAAACACACAAAAAAGAAACAGGGAAAAACTAAGTGCATTTATAACAATCCTCAAGTAAATTATTCATTACATGGTTGGAATTTAGAATTTTTACTTCTTTACTTATGTCCTCTACAAGTCTTTCTGGATTTCCGCTGAGTTAATGTATTCCCTCCACAGTTTCCACTTCTCCACAAAGAACGTATATCTATTATAGAGGCGGGCAGTGAGCTCCTCCAACCACATAGTGTTATTTAATTCAACTAACCACTCCCGCACCTCTGGGATATTTGATGACTTACAATACCGCGGAGTTACTGCCCTTGCTGCTACCAATATAGGGCACAGTAATCCTTTTTTTAATTCAGTTACTGATCCATGATGCATTGACAGCAATGCCACCTCAGGAGTCTCTGGCATACTCAACCCCGTCAAATGTCACCCTATCTCAAAGATTAGTCTCCAGTATATTCTTAACTGTTGGCATGCCCACCATATATGTGTCATTGTACTTTCTTCCCTACCACATCTCCAACATAGCTTTGTATTTTGTGGATTTATCCTATGAACTATTGTTGGGCATCTATACCATCTTGTTAATATTTTAAAGTTTCTCTCCTGTGTTTTAACCGCTATACTTGATTTAAAGGCTAAATGGAAATTTAGCTCCAATCCTCTTCTGTCCCCAAGTGTCACAATTCCCTTTCCCAGTCCTTTATATAATAACAGACCGTTGGAAACATCTGGGTTATTAAAATATTATATAATCTGGATACCATATGTTTACTCCCTGCCCTATTCACACCTATATCCTCAAATGAATTATATATATATA